ACGGAAAATAACAAAAATAAATAACAAATAAAATATTATACATTTTCTGTATTTCTTTATTGGGATATAACATATATATATCATATATACAGGAAGTAGATTACCATGTAGATTGGGGTCCACAACACCCGGTTTGGGGACCGGTCCTGGTCCGTCATTTGGTATTTGGTATTTAAAGGTCATTTGGTATTTAAAGATATTTCATTTAAATATAATCTGTTGATATGTAATGATCACTTCCTGTATGTGGGAGAACGTCACTTCCACTTCAGTGGTGATGTAAAACGGTCCGATGTCGGTAAGCATAATCTACCTAAAATACTTTTTGTTTTGTACATAAAGCCTCCTCCTGTACATCCCATCCATCTGCCTATAAAAAAAAATGTAGTCGAACTGGGACAACTTCCGTGTGCTTTTATTTTTTCTGCTTTCGACTGCTCCCCAAGATAGGTCACAATAGGTCATTCAGACTCTTATACTGTATTAACAGAATAAAGTTTAAAATATGTTTTATTTTGATAATTTTGTGAACCTTCAACAATGGCGCGGTATTATTGGTACGCGGTAATAGCTAATGCCAGTTGACTCTTTGTTTGGGACATCTGCATTGCAGATGACCTCACGATCACCCTGACATGACTGGACAGTAAATTGAGGGCAGAAACCTGCGTCCACCGACCAGCTGATATCCAAACAAGTACTGAGTACTTCCAAACAAAATAAAGTAAACCAAACTTTTTAAAATGGCTGTGCTCTTGAAACCTATGTATCCCACCTAATTATAGACGCTGCTTTTCCTCCGTTAGTCCAGTTTCTGATAGGTTGTCATCTGGGTTTCAGCTTCCTCTTGAAAGTGTCCCTTTATCAGAGACTCTGCACAGATACGGCTCGGAGTCTCTCGCCAGCTTATCTCCGACCGACCATTAATTAGCACCAAGTGTAGCAATTACACTCAAATATCCCAGGCAACAAAGACACAAAAGATTCCTCCGCCCCCTCCTCCACCCCCACCCCACTGTATTATAGCCTTAAAACTAGACCCGGCTTTCCACAAATGGCGAGAAGTGGGAAGGAAATGAGGAAAGGGAGACTTTTGAGCAGCACAAAGACAGAAGTTGGATAAGAGTCGACTGTCGTTTTTAATTGGTTTGTCTCTCGTGAGAGGAGCTCCAGATCTGAGAGGGTTTATTGTCAGCCTGCCCTTGTATGTGCTGCGAAGGGTTGCCGGTGTGTGCATATGCATGTGTGCAATTGCATCCACAAGTAACACCTGTGACTGAATGACTGCCTAAAATTGGAAATCGGAGCTTTACTACGCATTTAGCCTCGGTGCTTCGAAAAACGCACAATAAAACTTATTTAAAGTAACTTTGTGTGCTCCCAGAACGTCAAGATATATTTGGTGGTAAGCTTATACAGTATCAACCGAGAAATCAGATCATTTCGGGGGCATTATTTGTGTTATTCTCTAACATCATTGAAAACTATTTTTCAAGGATTAACTCAAAGTGTTCAGTCGTACTTGTTTTGGTTGGAATACATTAAAATTCGTCTATTTTTTAAGGGTAAACAAGTTTCTGAATGAAACTAGAGCAGGTGATGAAAAACAGAAAACCACGTGATGAAATGTGTGTTGAACGTTTTATAGATACTCCAAAAACATCTGGAATCTCAATATCATTGCACATTTGTTTCATATTATTCACTGGATGGCTCGTTCCTATGGACATTTGTGGCAGTTTTCATTAAAGTCCATTCCACTGACCAAAGGTTTAAAATGTCTCTATTGGGTTCTTTGGCTTTTTCCTGGGAATCTGTGATTGTTCCATCAATGCTGTGCTGTTAAATTGCTATGTGAAGTCTTGTCTTTTTAATTCTAAACTGCACATTCAAGTAATTGCAACCCGTGGTCCTATCTTTTCTGGTTAATTTGATGTTTTGGCCAACAGAGCTTACATTTAAATGAGACTGGGTTTTGTACATAAAATTGTATATATGGTCAAAAGAAGGATGGAACATTAGACAATACTCCGTGTGCGGGCAATATTGACCAATAGCTGCTTGGTTAAAAAAAATCCCTTATTTGTTCTACAATGGGAAAATCCACATTGTGAATCTTTGCAATGAACACAGGCTGCCACAGGAGGCGGGAAAATACATGGTTGCAACTAACAGACTGTCATATAGTAAGCACCAGTCTACGTACTGTATGTGTTTTCTTGAGTTTGATTTTGATCTCTTTCACTCATTCAGTCATTTCTAACTGACATTTTGACATAGGTCACTGCTAACAGAACATCAGAAATATGCAGTTGCAGATGTTTAACAAAATGATTTGACTTAATGATCATCATTAAGTCCTAATAATCTAATACACTTAACACACTCATTGTTGATCCTGTATTGTTTGATTGATAAAGATGAAGGAAAGAAAAAGTTCAAATTGTTTAGGTTAAATCCAGATCTATCTTGGTAGTGAGTGTAAATAATTTCTTATGTTAGATAAAAGGCATATTTAGTACATTTTATATCGTTTATGTAAACTATCCCAGATGTAATGCAGACAACAGGGATTATATGATAGTATTACAAATAAAATACAATTATAATGGACAGTTACTGTAGATACACTATAAAAGGCAACATTTTGTCAGATAATATTCAGGCGCATGATCAACTGGTGTCACTCAACAGGTGCTAATGATTGTCATTTTAACATGAACGTTGGAGAAATGTAATCAACTCAATCAGAAACAGCTGTGATGTTGGCCTTTAAAGCAAGGGAAGGATGACCAAAGGTGAGGTGGAATTACAAATGTCTCCTCCAGTCTGTCTAATATTATTGTCTTGTTTTTGTGCCGGTCAGATTTTTTATTTTATTTTTTGTAAAGGACAGTCCTTTGCAGGGTTCACATTGGGATTAGTCAGCATTCGAAGGACTTTGGCTCAGAGCTAACGCTCAAAGCTTCTGAGTGTGTGCCTGTTCTGCCCACATGCACAATTGGCTGCTGTCTGAACAGCTGACTAGACAGCAACCAAAAAACCTGGCAACCATCTGGCACCACTGGGGACCTCTGTTCCCTTCTACTGCATTTATCATAAAAAGTTAAGAAAAAGAAGAAAAAAATATATATATATATAACTAGGAATATATATATATATATATATATATTTCTTTTCTTTACTTTTTGACAAATACAATAGAAGGGAAGAGGTCCCCACTATATACATACATATATATATAGATAGATAGATAGATAGATAGATAGATAGATAAACTGGGGACCTCTGCCTAGAAATGCAATTCAGGATGTAGCTCATAATCTGAAGTGTTTTGCAGTCTGAGAATTACTTTTATTCAGGAGGGAGATGAAAATCTACGGCAGACGACATCTGTGAGAACGAGGTGTTTCTGTATCAACAAACCAAATATGAAAGAAAGAAGAAAAAAAAACCAGCCGTGAAAGGCTATTTAACTTCATAAGTGCCACAGTGCTGCAAGCATCTGGCATGTTATGGCAGCACTCGAGATCTCGACGATAAACTAAAAGAGCATTACGGTGTATTTGTTTCTAATTACCAATGGTCTGCTTTTCAAGTTTTTTTTTTTTTTCAAGTTTCTGTGTATAAGCCACCTGTGCTGCTTCTAATGTTTTATTTATGTATGTTTTGTATTTGGTTCAAACAGCAGGGCTTCATTTTTTTACATCAAAGATAGATATTGCCGTCTGATCTGAAATGTAGAAGAATCTGGAAAGCCTTGGATAGATGTTCAGTGGTAGTATCGGGTCAGTCAAAGCTGGAAAACATTGTAAACTTTCATGTCTTACCAGTGTATTTATATACATAAAATGTATACACTGTATTTACATTAATTCCTTGATAATATATATAATTCTGGGCTTTTAAAAAACAATATAGTTATTTTGCTTGTGTAGATTTTGATATTAATAGAAAATGTGTCACTTTAAGTTCAGGGTCAACAATGTCCACAGTTGGAGGTGATGTAAAATTAGGGACCAAAGAGAGGAGCAACACTGTGAAAACATCAACGTCTCTTCTCAGTTTAACGGTGCAGTAGTCAGATGAGGAGTTTGCACCTCACCACGTCGCTGTTTTGTTGAGACTTATTTAAACTGAACTTATTTAATTTGTTCATTGAAACATGCAAAGTGCTGCACAGTTAAGTGACACGTTGTTTACTGGGAAGCAGGAGACAGTGTTTTTTCAATTAAATGCACTATTGGAATGTAAAAATGGATCAGTTTCTGATCTGCCGGCTGTGTTAACTATGCAGAATTTTTAATTAAAATTTCAAATGTCATTTTTTTTTCTTCTTTAGTTTTATTAATAAATTATCCAAATAAACAATTTTGCCAGTTTGAAGTCGCAATAAAACTGGGTGAAAGTACGGTAGCTTTCCTTGATTTAATGTCCTGACTTTTGAGTTACTCACAGAGCTGTGTCGCTATATACAGAAGCACTGACTTCCAGTTTATAAAATATTTATTGAAACCCATATGTATCATTGGCAGTACTTGGTACTGGCGAGTACACAAAACATTTGCACTTGTATCAGTTAATAAAAATTATTATTGGGACAACCTTACTTTTCATTTCATAGAATAGTATTTAGATAGATAGATGGATGGATGGATGGATGGATGGATGGATGGATAGATAGATGAGTAATAAGAAAACTACACTGTTAGATTTTGAGCTAGATCCCGAATAGCAATTATTGATTTTTCTGTCTTGTGATTCCTTTGTGACTTTAACTCTTTGGTTCTCTGAGCTCCCGTACTAAACCTAAACTTTAGGGTCTATTTTCGATTACTCGATGTTACGATTAATTTCTGTATTAAACGCCAAGGTTAATTAATCGTAACGTTTTCTTAATACTATGCGAAATAATATAAAGGAACTGCAGTTGAGCGCAACCTAAACGGAACAAAAACAAAGTTACACAACACCCGCACGTTGCCGCGTGTGTTGCTTTATTTTTGGTCCCTGCAGGGTGCAAGAAAGAGACGTGACCACGTGGGTAAAGATGGCAGAAGAAAAGTTATTTCCTCGAACAGTGTATTGAATCAGGCGTGTGGGATTATTTTGACTACAGACAAATACATTCAACATGTTTCATCACCTGCGGGGGAACCACCCGACATTGTTCACCAAAGCAAAGGTAAATACACATGAACATAGAATCGGTAGGACATTTAATTGTCATTTGCAATTAATTATCTACGAGTAAGACCCGGGTTTAGCCTTCAGTGCAACGTGACAAGTTACACATTCACCTAACGTTACATTAAACTGTTCGTATATAAACATAGCGTGATATATATTTCATTTTATTGTATGTATTTCTTTTGTCGGTCAGTGAGTAAAAGTTGGGCTTGTGCTTCCAGCACTACGGGATGTCCGTTTCATTTAGCACTCATTTGTGTATGTCATTGTAATTTAATACAAATAAACGAACCAAAATAATAGATACATTTTATGTATGTGGCCACAGACTGAGACAAATGATTAAACAACTAAAATAAAACTGAAAGGTATAGATTAGAATTGATGGTTTTAATAATTTAAACAATTGGAGGGGATTAATGAGTGGTCCTACAACAAGCAGCTGTGACTTTTTTTTTTCATTAAATGGGATTATTGTCATTTTTCTTTTTTGAATATCTGTCTTGTACCTTTAGGTTATTTAACTCTATTGCTACATATTTTTGTTTGCATATATATTTGTAAATTTTTGTAGGCATCAAAAGATAGAAATAAAGGCGACTCCTACAAGACGTGTTCCTGTGATTTTACATCTTTATAGTGTTATTAAATCGATTACCTTGTAACAATAATTGTGAAAATAGTAATATCGTGATAATTCCTCTGACAATTTTTCATACCAAGGAAATCTATAATTGTGACATCCCTATCGTTGAGTCATTAGAAGGGTTGATCTTGGCCTCTTAACGTTCTACAGTTCTATCTCTGTGCACACAGACGTCTCTAGCACCGTTGGATGTTCAGGCATTCACATGCCCCACATCTTTAACATCTTCAGAGAGAAACATTTGCCACCATTACCTCTAAAGAACCCCAAAATGCCAAAAATGGCAAAGTCGTTTAAGTCAGAGGTAAAGGCTGACATCTCTAAAATGCTGAAGGTTAACGACTGAAAATAGATCTTTGCAACACCAGCTGTAAGAGATACCCACTGTATTTCAGGAGGGAATGTCACAGCCGGGAAGGCACACAAGCCCAGGAGAGGAGGCTGTGAGGGAAAAGAACAAGAGTGTCATATCCATTTGTAACTCCCACCGTGATGTCAGGACGCCGGCGGGGGATTCACCAGCTGTACAGTTACTCTGACGGATGCAGGTGGGTGCCCTGTCTCTCAACCTATACGCTCATCTGTAAAGATCTGTCTGTTTGTCTCTTCTGCGTGAACCTGTGGCTGATAGACGGAGACAGCAGAAGATGACAAACGGTGTCTGCGGTTGAAATGAGGGTTACAAAGTTAAGAATAAAGGTGAGAGAGAGAGCGTGAACAGAGAAGTGGCAGAGATCGGGAGTAAATGACAGAAGTCAGCAAAGTGTCACGGTGCCTGATGGAGAGGAAGTTGGACGTAACAAGAGTACATTACAAAGTTTTCTGTCCATTCTGCCTGCGATTGAACTTTTCCCCCCTCAATTCTGATTAAATATTAAAGCGTTGTAATTAAAAGGTGACAAAGTAGGATGCCACAGGGGGCTCAGGCTTTATTGATCCAGCAGTGACAAAGTAGGGCTTGTAACCCGCAGTGTGGGAGAGTGTTTGGTTGTTGGGCAGCCGTTGAATTTGTTTTAGTCTTTCTTTTTTTTTTTGTGCTAAAATGTTGATACTTCAGTATGAAGCCATAAGACACGTTTCCTTTTTTCACAAATCAAACTTCAAATAAAAGCAATGACTACTGCCTACAGCTGAAGTTGTCCACTAGAGGGCTTGAAAGACTAGGTGTGCAGACCTGGGCAACATGCGGCCTTTAGCATCTTTGTGTAAGATCATATTTGACTGATGCGTCAAAGCGACCAGTATTATAAGAAGATAACAGAAAAGTGGGAATTTATTTTATACCGTAGGAAGGCAACACAAATGAACACAAAGCTAATTTTTCAGCTTGATTGCTAACAGTAAGTCTACAAAAGTTGACAATGTGTGAGGTTTGAAAGTATAGTGAGCTATGCTGACTTAATGTCACTGTTAGTTGTAAATGTGAATTAATAACTGTTTTTTTACAACTATGTGCTGTGGTACAATTAAGTTAAATAATAATAAATTGTAGTACTTTTATATAAATCTATAAAATTATAACCGCAGCGTTTCATATACTGCAATGTTTGCTACGCCTGCGTTTTACGTGGTTGTAAAATGATAACATGGCTCTTTTGGTGTTTAAGATTTCTTCAAAACATTATTTTAAACTCTGTAATTATAGAAAAACAACATTAATTCCACAGTGGCCAAGATAAAGATAGCACTGAAACTGAAATCTGAATTCCCACCCCTGGTCCAGCCCATGGGATTGTTAAGGAATGATTAAAAAAAAACACTTAGGCCAATAGGAAATTGCAAATTGAAACAATTTCAAAATCAGATTCAAATAAATAACATACTTAATTTCAAAATCAGATTCAAATAAATAATAAAAAAAACATACTGATTTGGAACAAATGAATAGACAAAAGCAATAACATGATTAAACCAGAACAAACTAAGAACATGCTTAACGTCCCTTTAAAATACTTACAATTTCTTGACTTGTTTTGTGCCTGCATTCTGACTTGCGTTTCGGAGAAACACTCTTTGCTCGTCACTGTTGTAGGCCTCAGACTTTGACTACAGTGAACCTACGGGAAGGCAGGAGTGGGATGTTTGAGCGCATTGTTAAGGTTCACAGCCTTGTCTGAGGCTTTAAACACTACAGCACAATGTTCAAGAGCTCTTTTTCAAATTGCACAGGCGTGTCTAGATGTTAAGATGTTTACATCTGTTTATGTCCCAGCACGAAGCCATCAGCGGCCTCCCTGGGCGCGCTGACAGATTTGAAGCCGCGGCCCACCACGGCACATACTGTATGCTTTTGAAAATGTTTCCATATTGCTTAATTTGTTTCTCTCCCCCACATGGGAGTGAACTCTTGCTGAGAGATGACTGGCAGACAAAAAGCAGGTGGAGACAAAAAAAAAGTCAACTTTCAGCATTTTATCGCGCCTGTAGGGAATGGAAATCCTCCTGCCGCCACAGGCACATTTTCTTCCCCTTTAGAAATACTTGAAAAATATTCGCTTTGTATGGCTCCTTGAATGCTGTCTTAGTACTAGAGAGCACTGAATGTACACAATCAGGCAAAATTGGGTTTAAATTCTCCCCGACGTCAGCCAGACGACCAGATGGTGCCCAGTCAGGGGTCTCCACACTTACTGTACAGCCTCCATACAAGAGGCTCAGTTATCAGAAAGAGTAATCACACTCTCCTACTGAATGTTTTAGTAACACCTTAGCGTGACGTAAGAAAGCAGTTATGGTACACCAAAATACTTCCGACGAGGAGGAGCGATCATACCTACATTACTCACCCATTAGAGCTAAGCTGTGGGATGTGAAGTTGTGACACCGACTGAGATGCGGTATTAGATCCTCACCTTCATTAATCATACATGCCTTTGAGTAAATTCACGTCTTAACAAATTTAATAAGAGAGCGCTGGTAGGCTCAGGCTAGTCCGTGTGCCTCATATACTGTATACCTAAGTCAGATCATTATGGAAATTCTCAGACGGAGGTGAACTTTCATAACTGTTCAAAATAAATCAAGAGGCAGGATGAAAAGTGACAGGCCGTTGCTCCCCATCCCGGACTCCGAATCGAGCACGCTGTAGAAACAACGCCCGATGTCGGAACACTTCACGTAATATTGCCTCTTCAGGGAGATTCTGATTATGCAGGTTAGAATATTATGTACTCTGCTTTGGATAATCATGTTGCGTTGCAGCCGCGCTACTGCTGCCATAAATCACAGTTTATGGTAATGACAGGAGGAAATCAGTGACACCTTTGCGTAGGATTTTTTTTTTCTCCCACGGCCACATATGAAAAGATGTAAATCTGAAGTAGATAATAAAAGTTTATGAAATCTGATATGACCTTAAATTGCAAATGTGAGCAAAGATACTCTTCTTAACAGCAGTTAAAGCTACAAGGGTGGAGTGTTTTAAAAGGATAGTAAGAGTCTACAGGTCTTTCCTTCTCGGCATATTCTCAAGAACGTTAAGTATGCACAACAGCAGGACTCTCTGCACAAAGGAACATCATGTCCTGGTTGATGCTTGGTGCGAATCTGAGAGATCTGGGAACACGTGACTGAGAATGAGGATGTCAGGATTTTCTAATCGAACGAAACATAATTGTCAAACGAGAAAATAATACTAATGTTGTTGCTCTTGTGTAAGTCGGAGTAGACCTGTCTTAGGCTGATCGGCTTTGTTTTGTGAAAGTTGTGGCTAGTCAGATGGCCTTGGTTGCATTTGGAAAAACCTCATATTTTGAACATGGCCAGATCTCTAATACTTGGCCTATTGTTCAAAGATGTGTATGGAGCAGATGAACAGTTGAATTCAGGTCCAAGGGTGAAATGTAATAAGACTGTGTAACATAACAGCAACAACTAAGATGTTTTGGTCAACAGTGTTTTGCACTTTACTAAAAAAAAAACATGAGTTAGTGAGTGTGTTAATGAGCATTACAAAAGTAATTTATTACTGAGGAAAGTTACATTTACCAAAATAACACCAAAGAAGAAGTAACTACTTTGGACTCAAGGACTCAAGGACTCAAGGACTCAAGGACTCAAGCTTCTTTATTGTCATTGCAACACATGTTAGACATGGGATGAACGAAATTAGTTTCCCTGGTCCCGGATCGAGCACAGGTGACAGAGGGGAAGAGTTCAACATAGTACTATGTTTTTGTTATAAATAGATGTTAATAGAAAACATATACATTTGAAGAAATAAACATTTTATTTGTTGAGTGTCAACAGACCAGAACTGGTCATCATTTAAGAAAAATCTCTCTATATCTATAAAAAATATATATATATATATATATATATATATATATATATATATATATGCATTTGTATCTGTTTTTCATGTCTGTATTTTACAGACATAGAGAGTGTCACACAACATCAATAGTATAACATTAGTTATGTTGATTTTGTGTCAAAGACATGCCTGGGTCAAGGTTGCACAAAAAGCAAACGTTAAAAAAATCTAACAAGCTAAGATCATGCACAGGACGGAGCGTAGCTACTTCAAAGTGATCGAAGCCTTCCTTAACTGTGAGATTGTACTCAGGATCCTTTAACGATCCCAGTATTGGTGGCGTCGGGTGAACCAGGCTTTTTTAATCAAATGCAAACTATTTCCATACCTCCATGTCACAGGACAGACTCTGCTAGCTTGCCCTGTTATCCATTAAAAATAAGACCTTTCTTCCAAACTGGCGTAAAAAAACATTTTATTGCTGAATTTGCAACCAATAAGGCTAGGAAAGTGACTCTGACGAGATCAGTTTCTACTGTTGTGGAATCGCTTGCAAATGGCTCAATTCAATTTTAGTAAAAGTGTCAATTTATAACAGCGTAATCTCAGACACTTTCCAGGTGTGTAAACAACACTTTCATAAAAACAGAGAGAGACAGATCCCAGTGGAAGTATTTGGCGTTGGTAGCAAGGAAAACCATGAATAATGAATGACTGTATATCATGAATGAACGTGTCCTCATCTACCTGTTTAAAAAGTCAAGATGCCAAAAAAAAAAAAAATAAGTTGACTGAATTGAAAGCCACTCGTTACCCAGGTTATGGTGTATTTTGTACTTGACTAAAAAAACATACGTGCATTTGAACTAGAAACGCTGGATTCATGTGACTTTTCCCGCGCAATTGCGCATTCATGTCAAAGAGCAGGGCCTTCATGGCCTCACACCCACGCTGTGCATCCTATGTTACTACTTTAGAAATCCCTCTTCAAAGAGTTGAACTTACAGGCACTTTTTTTTTTTTTTTTAAGCTATTCCTGCGGTAAAACAGCTTGCAGCGTCTGATGAGTTTATCCATATTTTGACACGTTTGCCAGTGGAATCTCAGCCATTAGTTTGAACCTTCCAACTACCACCTGCAGAGAATGAGTCAGAAAATACCAGAGCAATAGTAAAGAGGCGGCAAAATCTGTGAGATTAGTAAATTAAGCAGCTTCCTGCGGCAGCACTGAAACCACTCAAGTGAAGGACGGATTGTTTTTCTTTCCGTCTTCTTTGTTCACCCTCTCCTCTGGCCTTGAGTTATACTAGGAGCTAACGGTCAAATGTGGCTCCATGCTGCTGTCTTCTTTTTTCCTAATTCTTTTTCTTTTGTTAAGGCGAGAGTGTCGTAACTCAATCAGAAGTGTGTGCAGGGTCACCGCTGTGGCACTCTTAAAATATGGCAGGACTTTATATTTTCTTCCTCAACAAGAAAAGTAGCTTTAATAAAAAAAGGTGTCCTGACCTGATATGCTCTTATTTCACTGTAAACCTTAAAAGAAGATTTAAAAAAGGAAAGAAATCAAATTTAAAGTTGTTGAGTGTTAAGCCCCGAGGATGTGGTGGAAACGACTAATGATGAAAAACATCCAGAATAAACAGGGTAGGTGCGTAAATTAACTCCAGTTGACAAAGTGGGGTTTGGTACAGAGGATCTGACACAGCCTTTCAATTCTGAATCACATATTTACTGTCACGGTTATTGAAAATCAGGGTCACTTCACTCAGACAATCTTTTCAGCTGTAGACTAAAGGGAATGATATAAAAAAAAAACTATTTTGTCTGCAAGCCAAGAATTCCAAGGACTTTTTTGCATCAAATATTCTTAAAAAAATTGACTTAATAAAATCTGTCATGCTGATGCACTGTCGTGAACTTACAGACTTGTGTTCAACATTCTAACGAGGTTAAAAGGCTGGATTTACTGAGGCAATTA